GGAGTTGAAGTGGAACTCCNGCCCCTCTCAAGGAAGATATTTTCATGCGACTGCCGGAAGGATGTGGTGCGTTGTCGGGGAAGATAGTGCAGTTGAACAACAGCCTTTATGGCTTGAGGCAGGCATCTAGAGAGTGGTACGGGATACCGAAGAAGTGCCTTTCGGCTTTCTTTGGACTTCGAGCAGTGCATGGCTGATTCGTGTGTTTTTCGTTTAGTCGAAGGGGGGGAAGTAGTGTTGCTTCTCGTAGTACACGTAGACGATATTTTTGGAGTGGGGACGAAGGAGAGGTGTGATCAATTCGGCAAGGACGTGGGAGAGTACGTGCCAGTGAAGTCTCTAGGGGAGTTGAAGTGGAACTCCGGTTGCTATTGCGAGAGGGACAGAGAGGCAGGCAGGCTGACGATTTCACAGCAGACATAACGCCGAAGAGCTGGGAGAGAGATATGGTGTCGAGTGGGGGGGGGGCACTCATTCCTGTTCCCACCACCTGGAGACTTTGGGACTTCAACTTGGACGAGCCGAGCGTAGAGTACCCTTTTCGCGCACTGGTTTGTTCGCTGTTGTTGTGGATTGCCTTTCTTGTTGACTAGGCCGGATATCGCGAATTCGGTGAGAGCAGTGGCGAGGTACTGTAGTGCACCGAAGTTGATCCACTGGAGGAAGGCTGCACTTAGCATTTTAGGACATGCAGTTAGGACTAGTTCTTTGGGGATTTCTTTTCAGAGGGGGACGGTTTCGGGATTTTCTTTGATTGTATTTAACGACGCGGATTCGCTTCACGTGCAGCAGACCGTAGGTCGGTTTCGGGAGGGGTAGTGATTGATGTGTGCAGGAGTGGCGATTGCGTGGTTCTCCAAGACTCAGAAGTGTGTGACTTTGTCTACCACGCAGCAGGCAGAATACGCGGCGATGGCGGACATGGGGAAGGATATTTTGTCTTTGAGGCAGGTTTGGCGTTTCATGTTGCCTAAGGAGTTGCGGCCGTGCATTCCCCTTAATGAAGATAACGAAGGGGCTATCTATCCAGATCGCAAAACACCCCATCTCGGCTTCCAACTCGAAGCACATCGACGTGCGGCATCACTTCCTCAGGCAGCTCGTAGATGAGAAGGAGGTAGAGATCATCCACGTAGCGTCGAAGTATCAGCATGCCGACTTCCTCACGAAGGCGCTACGTGAGAGAGAGTTTGTTTCCCACCGGGACTACGTGATGAACTTGAAGTGAATACATACATAGTCCGGGAGATCATTTTCGTTTTGTGTTGATTTGTTTGATTTTCTGAGAAATCGAGTTCAAGATTGACCGGTGGAAATTGTCTCAAGTATTTCTGGTTTTTTAACGGTCGGCAACAATGCAAACCTATAGGAATTCTAACGAATGTTTCTGGTTTAAGGGTTTCAGTGTTGTGACAAGAATGAATGCAGTTTAGGATGAAGGGAATGTCTTGCACTAAATTTTAATTTGGTCAGGTATGTGGTATGTATGGGAGGACAACAAAGATAGTATATTAAAGTCCGGGTGTGGTCTTGTCAATGCAGCGAGTAGGGGGGCTGTTAGACGTACTCACAGCATCGACAGATTATTGCAAGCAAGAAATTTCCGAGAAGATGGCGCGTGGAGTTTGGGGGTTCAGCAGTTGCTTTGGATTCGATTTGATGGCACCAACTTCGCCGTATACTCTAGGATTGAGGGTGGGGGTATGTGTGTGTCTACAACGGATATGCATGGTGATTGTGTGTTGTGGTTTCTCACTTATTTTTCTTTCCTCTTTTTCCTCCTTCCTGTGTGCAATCAAGTCCTTTTCCCCGACTACCACGCTACCACGGCTATCACGCCACGACTTCCACGCCGATCCTGGCTATCACGCCACCCGTCTATCACGCCTTCCGGACATCCACGTCCTTACATATTCCTTTACACCACGACTATCACGTCACCAGGCGTCCATGCAACATCCAGAGATACCATACCCGAGCTATCACGCTCCATCCCAAAGTAGAAGGCTGTCACGCCCATCATAAATCCTACACTGTACCGTTGGCGGCTACCGCGCCGCTGGCTCTTTTTTTTCCCAACCAAGGGACCCCGCGCGCCATAGAACCGACGCACAAAGCTACTCAACACCCCCCCTCCACCGTCAGATCCATTTTGGATCTCACGCCGGAGAGTTTTGGGGTGTCTTAGTCCTCCGCCGCCCAATGGGGGACTTTGATATTTTTTTCATACCGTGCCAATAGGCATTAACCTTAGGTAAGCTTGCGCTTACTTTTGATTGTACCCTTCTCATCCTCTGGGGGGCGCATGGCCTCAATTTTTCAGGGGGGGTTCGGGTACGGGTTGGGGGTCGAGTCTATGTGTACTACATTCTCGAATTGTCTCCTCACAATAGCTACTGTGGATTTTCAGTATACAGCTATCTTCACTCAACGCGTCTGTCTGTGTTCGGCAATCTCCAATACAAATCACCCTGTGAGGTTTCAGTATGCAGCTTTCTTCACTCACTGCGTCTATGTGTCCGGCAATCGCAAACGTCACTCAACCCGTGAGGTCTCAGTATGTATGTGTCTATCGTCACTCAAAGCGTCTATCTATGTGTCTGTCGCTATCCAACATCACTCGTCCCCACTCAGCGCGTCAATGTGTCTGATAAATTCAAAAACCAATCCATCTGTGAGGTTTCCGTATGCAGCTGTCCCCACTCAACGCGTCTTTGTGTCTGACAAATTCAAAAACCAATGCATCTGTGAGGTTTCAGTATGCAGCTATCCTCACTCAACACGTCTATGTGTCCGGCAGTCTCTACAACAAATCACCTGTCTGTGAGGTCTCATGTACTTCCTCTGTCACATAAGTAAAGTCCGTTATGGGGGAATTTACATACCTCACCAGCCAAAAGTTCCTGAAGCTCTAGTTAGGTTTGTTGGAAAGCGCTTGTTATGCACAAAACTTAAAAAAAAAAAAAATCCGACTCATAATTACTGAGAATTAGTGTGTCAAATACGGGACTATTTTGCGAATATTTTGGGAATATTTTGAAAACATTTTGAGAATATTACAAAGAATATTTGCAGCTTTGTGCTGTGTGAGCACCCACTACCACCACAACGACGTAGCTATCATGGGGGACGACGCCCACACACCCCCACGTCGTAAGCGGGGTGCGGAAGTATCGTTGGGTCGTCGGTACGCCATGGCGGTGGAGATAGCGTTGGCGATTCCGCCGGGCAAAGAAAGGGTACCCAAGGGCTTTCTAGGCCCCCTCGCCGAGCGGTACGGCGTTGGTAGTGATTACCCCAGAAAACATTGGGCGGAATGCAAAGCAGCGCAGATCGATGAAACCGGAGAGCTCGACCTTTCAAACAAACGTCGGAGTGGGCGGCCATCGCTCCTCACTCCGACGAAGGCCGCGGCGTTGCGCAAGGTCAACAAGGAGAATCGGTCATTCACGCTGAGGCAAGTGTC